TCGGCTTTGCTTTCCCACCCTCATCCCTTTGTGCCCTTCCCATGGGCCTGGCCACATCCAACGCCACAGACTGCTCTGCACACAGCAGACTGTCTGCCCCCGGGTCTCTCCCGGGCACCGGGAGGCACCGCGGGAGTCCTCCCTTGGCGCTGAGAGTTCAGACCAGTCTCCGGGGCGTGGGAGGGACAGCAGAATCACTGCCACAACTCTCTGTCCTCCTTGCAGACCCTGCAAGCCATGGACACCATGCTGGAGACGATGGTGCGCCGCTGTTCTGCCACCAGAGTCAGCGAGCAGCTGCAGAGTATCTTTCAGGTCTGGCATGTGAAAGGGGGGGCTTCACAGGGGCTGTTCCTCACCCTGGGGGGAAGGGGGTGTCCACTCTGGAGTGCACGGTCCTCACCCCAGTGCCATGCAGAGAGAGCACGCTGCAGGGAGGCTGCCCGCCTCCCGTGGTAACCAGGGGCAGCCCAGCAGGCGCTTCTGGAGCACGGTGCCTGCAGAGGGTGGCATCTGCCTTCCTGCCCGGCCACAGGGTTGGCCCGGGGGAATTTGTCCTAAGCCTGCGAGGGACCCTAGGGGCAGGAACCCCGCTACAGGCTTTGCTCGAGATCCCAGGCAGCCTTGACGGACTGTGAGAGTCCAGCCCGGGAGCCGAGCAGTGCTGCTTCTGCTGGAGGCCATGTCTGCTCCCAGGGCACACCAGCAGCTTCTCTCTTCCCAGATGCTGCTGAACTTCACCAACTCTGAGAGAGCAGCTGTGCAGGAGAGGGCCATAGGGAGGATTAAGGGTCTGAGCCTTTTGCTGGCCAAGAATTCCACACTGAAGGTGAGGAGCCAGGCACCCTCCAGCCAGGCCATCTCCCCCTCCCTGCACACCAGAGCAGCCTGCAGCTCTCCCCACGCGGGGCTGCTGCCCAGCTAGCTGCTTTGGGAGCCGTGGCCGGCATGGCCCTGCAAAGCCCTGACTCACCAGGGATCCAGCCCTGGGCACGCTCTTGGGTTCAGGGCTTTGCCACCAGCTGCCTGCCCTCAACCCTTCTGCTGTTCTGCCTCCCTCGCCCAGGCTTGGCACCGCTTTGGACAGGACACGTACGGCCCTGTCTGCTATGGAGACGTCCAGATCCCAATCCTGGGACAGCTGCTGGGACATCTCCTCCTTTTCCGCTCTTCCAAGAAACAAATAAGCTGTGAGGCTTCTGCTGCTGTTTCGCTCCTCCATGAATTCATGCATAATCAAAAAAGTAAGGGGAGTTGTGGTAGGCTTCATCCCTCTGCACACAGACATCTGCTTCTCTTCCTGACCTCCTTTGCCCCTCACAGCTGCTCCCCGTAGCATCCCAGCTGTCATTTTGCTGCAGAACCTGAGCGCTCTCCTGAAGTCCAGGACCTCTTCTCCGCTGCTCTCCTTCCTCCCTGCTTTCAGGATCTTGAACCCCGCTGTTTTGCAGTCCCCACAGCCAAAGCCACGTCTGCCCTGTTAGTGAAGAGCTGATCCATCTGTGCACCACCACAGCTGGCCCCTCCAGTGCCTGGAGCAAGAAGCTGCTCCTGACACCCTCCAGAAACCTCCTTGACCGCTTTTGTCCTGCCATCTTGCAAGCAGCTCTCAGGGCCGTTCGGTAAGCTTGCTGGCAAAGCTGCTGTGTCTTACTGACTCTTCTGTGTCCCCCCCGCTGTTTAGGCAGGTCAATGCTAAAGGCTAAAGCACCGCGGCTCCATGGGGAAGATGAGATCTCCTCCTTACTGCGTCTGAGCACCATGAAAGACATGGTAAAGAGCTTCCCCCTTGCCGGGACTCTTGTCCCTGCCGTCAGCCGGGGACTTGTGTCAGCAAAGGCATCCAGAATCGGCGGGGCTGGCATGGCCTCATTGGCCCTGGTGAGAGGGCTCCTGCTGTCCCCGAGCAGGGACCATGCAAGGGCTGCACTCCAGCGTCCCACCAGCAGCAGCTCCAGCCCTCCCGGCCACCAGCAAGCCCTGCTTCTCTGGAGGGCCAGCACACCGTGCCCAGGAGCCCAACCCTCCTCCCTCCCTCTAGAATAGAACAGCATGAGAGAGAAGAGAAGAGAAGAGAAGAGAAGAGAAGAGAAGAGAAGAGAAGAGAAGAGAAAAGAGAAGAGAATAGCATGAGATGGGATGGGATGGGATGGCATGGAATGGGATGGGATAGAATAAAATAAGATGAGATGGAACGGAATGGAATGGAATAGAATGGAATGGAATGGAATGACATGACATGACATGACATGACATGACATGACATGGGATGGGATAGAATAAAAAATGAGATAGAAGAGACTGAGATGAGATGGAACGGAACAGAACAGAACAGAATAGAATAGCATGGGATGGGATAAAAGATGAGATGGAATGGAATGGAATGGAAGTGAAGTAGAATATTTCAATTATCTTCAATAATTGGTGCTGTGAGACGACTGGACAGACCGTGGGGCTACAACCTTCCCCCTCCTTGGGCTGCCTGGGTGGATACTGAGCCTGGCCCCAGTGTGACGTGGTGGAAGCCACAACCGGAAGACCACGATGGCTCGGGGGCTGCAGAAGTGGATGGCCTTTACAAGGAACCCCTGAGATGGCAGTCCATTGGAAGGAAGAGAGGGTAAGGATGGTCCCAAAGGGCAAAGGCAGGTCAGAATCATAAGGAACTAAGGGAGGAACACCCAACTAAGGTGAAATGAGGGAGGAAATCCCAGCTGCTGGCCCAGGCAGATCCAATGACCCTTCCCATGTGGCCAAAATTTTTGGAATGAATAGTAGTAAAAGGCCTCATATACCATGAGTGGTGACCAATAGATATTCTCTTTACTCATAGCCAGAGGAATCTCAGTATCGATGATTAAAGTGAAGGATGATCCTGGCTTCATCCAGAAACCTCGAAAAAGCGTTTATCTAACAAGGAATTGCTGGAAAAAGGCAACAGTTCCCAGTAGCTCAGATAAAGTTAACCCCGACGAATCGAAGAACACGAAGACCCACAGCTGTGCTCAGGCCCTTAAAAATATTAGGCATGGATATATTAAAAGTCCAACCCATAAATACTCTTATTTGGCACTTGGATGCCAAACCCTCAGATTCAAAACTTGAGTCTCTACAGACAAAATGCCAACCAAGGGCTCGACCATCTGTATTGGGTTTGCGTGGCAAGGTTTTGGTAGCCGGGGGGGTTACAGGGGTGGCTTCTGCGAGAAGCTGCTGGAAGCTTCCCCTGTGTCCGACAGAGCCGATATCAGGCGGCTCTGAGACGGACCTGCCGCCAGCCAAGGCTGAGCCCATCGGTGATAGTGGTAGCGCCTCTGGGATAACACATTTAAGAAGGAAAAAAAGTTGCTGGGACAGACAGAAATGGCAGCTGGAGAGACAGTGAGAAGATGTAAGAGAAACAGCCCTGCAGACCCCCAGGTTGGCGAAGAAGGAGGGGGAGGAGGTGCTCCAGACGCCAGAACGGAGATTCCCCTGCAGCCCTTGGTGATGAAGACCACGGTGAGGCAGGCTGTCCCCCTGCAGCGCAGGGAGGTCCACGGGGGAGCAGATCTCCACCTGCAGCCCGGGGAGGACCCCACACCGGAGCAGGGGGATGCCTGAAGGAGGCTGTGACCCCGTGGGAAGCCCGCGCCGGAGCAGGCTCCTGGCAGGACCTGCAGATCTGTGGACACAGGAGCCCACGGAGCAGGTTTTCTGGCAGGACTTGTGACCCCGTGGGGGACTCATGCTGGAGCAGTGTGCTCCTGAAGGACTGCACGCCGTGGAAGGGACCCACGCTGGAGCAGTTCGTGAAGAACTGCAGCCCATGGGAAGGACCCACGTTGGAGAAGTTTGTGGAAGACTGTCTCCCATGGGAGGGACCCCACACTGGAGCAGGGGAAGAGTCCTGCCCCGAGGAGGATGAAGGGGCAGAGATAATGTGTGATGAACTGACCGTAAACCCCATTCCCCGTCCCCCTGTGCCACTGGGGGGGTAGGTAGAGAATCTGGGAGTGAAGTTGTGCCCAGGAAGAAGGGAGGGGTGGAGGGAAGGTGTTCTGAGATTTGGTTTTATTTCTCATTACCCTGCTCTGGTTGATTGGTAATAAATTGAGTTAATCTTCCGCAAGTTGAGTCTGTTTTGCCCATGACAGTAATTGGTGAGTGATCTCTCCAGTCCTTATCTTGACCCACCAGCCCTTTGTTATATTTTCTCTCCCCTGTCCAGCTGAGGAGGGGGGAGTGATCAAACGGCTTTGGTGGGCACCAGGTGTTCAGCCAGGGTCAACCCACCACACCATCTTTTCATGACAGGTTGCAGATAAATTACCTAAAACCGGCCAGGATTAAAGAAGGGACATCCCAGACCATGTGGCCTCGTGCTCAGCTATAAAAGCTGGGAGGGGGCAGGAGGAAGGGGGGAGGACGTTCGGAGGGACGGTGGTCACCCTTAGGTGTGACAGAGCACCACTTCCCTGGGGAATGGCTCAGTACCTGCCTGCCCATGGCACCCACCTGTGTCACCCCTCTGGTCCCAAGCGGGGTGTCCCCACCTGTGTCACCCCCTCCCAGTCCGATTCAGGGTGTCCCGACTCATGTCACCCCCTCCTAGTCCGATTCAGGGTGTCCCCACCTGTGTACCCCACTCCAGTCCCAAATAGTGTCCCCATCCATGTCACCCCCCCAGTCTGATGCAGGGTGTCCCCACCCGTGTCACCCTCAGTCCCCACAGCCCCCACCACCCCCCTGCGATGCAGAGGACGGACCCAACGCAGCCGAAGGCTCTTTACTCCCCAGAAAAGCCAACACCGTGGGGTGACACCCGCTGTCACCAGCCAGGGGGGAATATGTGACACCGGGCGGGGGGGAAGGCAGCACCCCGGTGCCTTGCTCGGACAGGGGGGGACGGGATGGGTGGCAGCCAAAGAGGTGCCCGCCAGCAAGGGGGACCCATGCATCTGAGCGGCTGGGGGGGCCGGGGCCGGCTCAGGGCCACCTCGTGTCCTCAGGGCCCCCCCTCAGACCTTCTTCCGCTGCGGCCGCACCCTGGGGAAGAGCTGGGGGAAGGGGAGGGTGTCAGGGGGAAGGTTCCCCCCCGACCCAGCCCCCTAGGACCACAAGCCATGGAGGGGCCAGGGAGGCCATGAAATCTGCCCTCAGGGCCACAGTGGGGCTGTGGGGTGGCCGTGGGTGCTGTGGGACCCCCCTGGGGCAATGGGCGATGTGGGACCCCCTAAGGGATGTGGGTGCCACAGGTCCCCCCTCGGGGCCGTGAGTGCTGTGGGTACCCTCCTGGTGCTATGGGGTGGCTGTGGGTGCTGTGGGACCCCCCTGGGGCCATGGGTACTTTGGCATACCCCCCCAGACTCACCCCAAAATAGTTCCGGGGGACGTAGCCCTCATGGCCATAAAGGGACCCCCACCACCAGTCGAGCTCTTCCTGGGGCTGGCGGCGCAGGACGGTGATGGGCTCGCCCTCGCGGAAGGACAGCTCATCCCCGAATTCGGCGCTGTAGTCCCACAGTGCATACACCACCCCGCTGTTCAGCACCCCCATGCTCTGCTCCACCTCTGCGGGGACACGAACGTCAGCACCCTGACCCCCCCCCCAAACACTCCCCATGGCACTGCACCCCTGGCACCCTGTTGCTCTGAACCCGTGCCTGTCCTGGTATCCCCTCCCAGTATCTGTATCCCTCCCAATACCCCTTCCCAGTACCCACACCAGCCCAGTATCTCCTCCCTGTACCTATATACACGTGATACCCCCTCCCAGTACCCAGACCACCCCAGTACACCCTCCCAGTACTCATATATCCCCAATATTCCCTCCCAATACCCATACCCTCTCAGTACCCCCTCACGGTACTCATATTCACCTGAAACACCCTGCCAGTACCCATATCCCTCCTCCCAGTACCCATACCCCGCAATACCTCCCACCCAGTACTCACAAACCTTCTCCCAGTACCCGTACCACCCCAGTACTCCCTCCCAGTGCCGACACCCCACCAGTAACCATACCTGCTCAGTACCACCCCCTCAGTACCCATATGTGTCCCGTAATCCTTCCCAGTACCCATACCACCCCAGAATCCCCTCCCAGTACTCACATTCCTTCTCCCAGTACCCATACCATCCCAATACCCCCTCCCAGTACCCACAACCCACCAATAACCATACCTGCCCAGCACCCCCTCCCAGTACCCATACCCCCACCATGTCCCCATATACTCCCAGTTCCCCCAGTGCCCCTCCGTGCCCTGGTACCAGTAAGGTAGTTGTAGCAGTCGGCGTAGCCCTCCCGGTACGGGTCACACTTCTCCACGGCCAGGCTGCCGTCACTGGTGGTGGTGGCAAAGATGGCGGCTCCATGGCGCACCAGGGCCACGCACACCCCCGTGTCATTGCAAGAGGCTGCACAGTGCAGCGGCGTCCTGGCACCGTCGGGATGGGGGGAATTTTTTTGGGGGGGTGGGCAGAGGATGGGCTCCCCTGCAACCCTCCCCCAGTGTCCTAGGGAGGAGGGACCCCCTTTGCCCTCAGTTACAGGGGGGTCGGGGTCCCCCGTCCCTCCCCGTCCCCCGTCACCAAGGGCTGTTGGGGGTAACTGGGGTCCCCATCCCTGTCCCTGCTCACCCAGGGTTTTTGGGGGGTTATTGGGGTCCCTGTCTCCCTCTCTCCCTATCCCCAATCACCCCAGGCTCTGGGGGAGAGGGGGGGGAGTGGGGTCCTCATCCCTGTTCCCCATGGCTGTGGGGGTTCTTGGGGTACCTGTCGCCATCTCCTCTGGCTCTGGGGGTCTGGGGGTCCCAGGTGTCCCCACTCCTCCATGTCTGTGGGGTCCTCAAGTCCCACCCTCTGCCCCAGTAGCTGTGGCTGGGGGTCCCCCATGTCCCCACCCCGTATCAGTGGGTCCATGTCCCCATCCCACCAGCCGCAGCTGCAGGGTCCCCCATGCCCCCCTTCACCTTGTCAGTGGGTCCCCGCCCCACCAGCCGTGGCTATGGGGTCCCCCGTCCCCCCGCCCCTGCGTCCATAGGTCCCCGTCCCCATCCCACCAGCCGTGGCTGTCGGGGGAGTTGACGTTGGCCCCGCTGGCGATGAGGAAGTCGACGATGCTGTAGTTGGCGCCGCAGATGGCGTTGTGCAGTGCCGTGATGCCTTCGTCGTTGGGCTGGCTGGGGTCGTTCAGCTGGGGACACGTACACCTGTCCCCATGCCGCTACCCTCTGCCACCCCCGCTGCCGTTCCCCGACACCCCCCTGCCACCCC